CTGTGAACCGCACTCCTTGCTTCCCTCTCAGGGGCAGGTGCAGGCCAAGATGTTCCCATGCACAGACATAGGTGCTCCCAGGAGTAGTTGCAGGTGCTCCAGGCTATTTGCTGCCCCATGTATTGTTTGAAGATGCTCTCTGTTTCACCTTCCTTATGAAACAGTTAGATTCCTTTAACCTGAAGATGAAAGTCACCATAAGCAAAAATAAATAAATAACAATGGGCTAATTTCTAGGGACTGCTGCAGTCCTAAACGAATGTGTGTTGTTGCCATGGGCACAGCAAGGTCAAGGATCCTGACATTTTAGCATCATGTGACTGGGAAAGTCTTCTCTGGGTGAGGCTCAGAGGGAAGGCCAAGCCTTTCTTAGGTCTGAATGTGAAAGTTTACAGTGTGCAGAAACTACACACACACACACACACACACACACACGGGGAAGCACTTTTATACTCTCTTGAGAAATAACAATGGAAAAAAGGACAGTTTTCTGTCAAAAGCTTAGTCATGATGCTGAGGTAGGTGTGGTTTGTGTGTGTTCCCCCAATATTTATATTTCTGGAGCATGGTTCACAGTGCTAAGAGGTGACTGGGCCAGCAAGAGGAAGAGCCCAGTGAGAGGTTCTGAGGTTATATGGGGGAAACTATGCACAGAAGGGATCAAAGTACATCTCTTGGACCTGGTATGGTGGCTTATGCCTATAATCCCAGTATGTGGGAAGCTGAGGCAGGAGGATCACTGTGAGTTTGAGGCCTTCTGGGCTACATAATGAATTCTGGAATATATAGAACGAAACCCTTTCTCAAAAACAAAACAAAACAAAAAACTAAAAACCCCAGAAACCCAACACAGAACAATACAAAACAAAAACAACAAACAATAACAATGGAAAACCAGTATGTTTCATGGGACCTTTGAGCTGTGTCTAACCCCTTAGTAGTTCTCTGGCTTTCAGTCTCTGACGTGGTTGCTTATTCCTGCTGCTGTGATAGCATCCTGACATTCAGGCAGAACATGGACAGTAATGAGACTGATAGAAATGAAGCCACTGAACGAATTCTGTAAAAACTGGCTAATACACCTGTGAAGCCAGCTGGGCCCTTTTTGAAAGGTTCATCTTTAACTGCCTGAAAAATTGTTTCTTTTGAGATGTACGAAAAATGACTAATCTCACCCAAAGAAAGGCTTTGACCTTTCCCCTTGGCTCTCATGAGTTAATTTCTAAGCCTTGGAATCTTGCTGATCAAGAGTATCTTCATTTATGGGACCTTGGACTACGACAGATGGTCCATGCCAACAGTGATTTCCTGTGGAGGATATGGTCCCCTTAGCATCAGATCAGCCTCTGAAGGGTCATTGAGTGAGGTCAGCTTAGCTCATGGTAAGCCTGGATGTATGTGACCAAGTACAAAAAGGCTAGACACAAGGCTTGTGAGCTTTTCTGGTTGTAATATTCCATATATATTGTCACATACAATTTCTAGGAGAAGTAAGTTTTTTCTTTTTTTTTAAATTCATTTTTTTGGTGATTTATTTATTCTATAGTTTTTAGATGACTTTTAAAATCAATAACTTTAGTTATATTGTTAAATCATATTGTTACTGAAAGACATTTGGTTGAATTTAACATCAGTTTGGGGACAATTTTGTACACATGTACAATGCACTATAACCTTGTTTTGAGAATTATGCTCTGTCTGCCTACCTCTCTGAGGACCAGAACTCTGTTCATTGGAATTGTTTGGACCTTGCACTAGGTTCTTCCCTTGCTTCATTTTTGTCTGTATTTTTATTTGTGCTAGGAATCAGCTGAAAGTAGATTTTAATGAATTATTTGAGGTTTTCTATTGAATTAACAAATTTTAAGGTAGGCTTGGGGCTCCCAAGTTTGCAAAGTGTCTTGGAGGTGGGTCGACCCTGAAGGTGGGATTTCCTAGACCGACCTGACTCTCTGTAAAGTAGAAAAGGCACAAAAGGATAGAGCTTGAGGAACCTTTGATCTCTTCTTGGCTGCTGATTTTCAAAGCCCTTGATTAAGCCTCTGTCTGTGACTTTAAGAGACCTGAGAAATCTCCATCCATCCATCCATCCATCCATCCATTCATCCATCCAGGAATGAAACACAGTTAGATCGGCCTCGGAGTTTACATGAATTTTGTCTGGTCTCGAATCCTTATAATAAAGTGGCTAAATCTTAGAAGCTTCCCATCCAAGAACTTGGCAGGGCAGGTATAGCCATCATGAGGGGAAAGACTATAATGGAATATCTTACCACTGTATCTCAGTGGGAATGAAAATGCCTTCTTTAGGGAATTCATTTCTTCAGCACCAAATAATGTTGAACCACCTGGAAAAAAGTAGGCTCCAAAACTAAGGAGAGCATTTATGTTGACGACCTCAGGGCCGGACAGGGCAGTGTGTAGAAAGAAATAGCGATTTTATGTATGTGGTAGAACTTGTTAGGAGCATAAGGTAGAAAAATGCAGATGGAGCCTCTTCCAGTTCAGTTCCAGGAGGTGGTAGGTCGTCTACGTTGGGAAGGAAGGATGGAGCTGGTCCTGGGGTCAGGATTGGTGAAGTAGATTTCCTTTCCGGAGACAATGTCTTGCTTATATTGCTTTGCCAGCCTGTTACTCAATATGTATTGCAAGTTGGCCTTTGGCTCAAGGCAATGTCCTGCCTCCTCCTCGAGTATAAGGCAGCTTTTACATTCACTGTTCATTATTTGCTTCCAAAAGCTGGACGTTGTCTTCCTTCTGACATATGAGGAAATTGAGTCTGTTGCATTACATCTTGGACACTACCTCTCAAAGTCAAGGATGCTGGTAGGCAACTGTGAGGGAGCTCTGGGGGTTGAGGGCTCCATCTTAGGATGAGATATGGAAAAACTATACAGGCTGAGGGTAAAGAAGCAGGACCTCACTGAAGTCAGCTTGGGTTGTTCAAGCACCATACACTGACCAGGTAGTTTATACCTTTGTCTCTCATGGGTCTGAAAACTAGACAAGCTAAGATCAGGATGCCCTCATACTCAGGTTCTGGGAATGCTTTATTTATTTTTCCAGTCATGGTAGAAAGAATGAGAAATGAACAGGATCCTGAGAAATTTTTGAATCCTGTGGGGTCTCCTGATCCTGCTTTTAAAATAAGAACATTAATTCAATTCTGGTGAACTCGGTTCTCAAGGCTTGATCACTTCCCCAAACATTTCTTTCTAATACCACCAAACAGTTGGTTAGATTTCAAGATATGAATTAGAGGGTGGGGCACAGATTCATTTATTTATTGATCTTTTAAGTTAATAAAAATAATAAACAAACAAATAGATAAATCAGAATATTTGATCGCAGCACTCAGAAGGCATGGACAGACAGATCTCAGAGTTAAAGGCCAGCCTAGTCTAAAGAGTGAATTCCAGGGCAGGCAGAGTTATAAAGAGACCCTGTCTTGAAAACAACAACAACTACAACAACAACAACAAAAACAACAACAAAAATAAAACCAAAAATCTACTTAGGCTGGAGAGATGGCTCAGCAGTTAAGAGTACTGACTGCTGTTCCAGAGACCCCTGGTTCAATTCCCAGCAACCACATGGCAGCTGACAACTGTCTGCAATTTTCAGTACCAGGTGATCTGATGCCCTCACACAGATATAAATGCAGGCAGAACACCAATGCACATGAAATAAAAATAAACAAAAAAGATTATCATATGAAATAAGGGGTTTTATTTATGGCATTTTCTTTGTTTTTTTACAAGAGATTTATTTATTTTATATATTTGAGTACACTATTGCTCTCTTCAGACACACCAGAAGCGGGCATCAGATCCCATTACAGATGATTGTGAGCCACCATGTGGTTGTTGGGAATTGAACTCAGGCCCTCTGGAGGAGCAATCAGCGCTCTTAACCACGGAGCCACCTCTCCAGCCCTTATTATGGCATTTTCACACCAGTGTGTCCCAGGGTTTTATATTCACGCTCTCAAGGACAGCTATAAATTTGATCCTGAAAACTATCTTGAAGGGAAGCCAAGGATTTGCATAGTGCTGATCTTTACGGGGGGGGGGGGGACCCATACGTTTGTTTATTCATGTGTGTTCACTTGGGTATGCGTGGAAGTCAGGGGTGGAGTCCACCCTCCCTCTTCATCATGTGGGCAAGCGATCATGCTCATGCCATCAGGCTTGAGGGGGAGCACCTTAGCCTACCAAGCCATCTTGCTCACCCAAGTGCTGTTGATCTTGAGGACTTAGAAAGTAAGTTGGTCAGCACTACACAGGCTGCAAGTTAATGAGCTGGAGTCCAAGTCCAGGTCTTTGACTCCAGAGCATCTGCGCTGCCTCTGCTGGCAGCCACGTGTCCTGTCAATGCCACTTTTGCTCAGTCTTGCTCAGGCTAGAAATAGATCTAAGGATGAAAAGAGAGGATGGGCTTGGAGGAACCACAAGTTTTTGATGCTAAGGGGAAAAGAAGAGGAAGGAAGGAAGAGAGCTGGCTTCTGGATATGGCCTTGAAGTAAAGTGTTCTGACGGAGTGGGGTGGGATGGGTACCACTGACTCCATCCCTCCTTGGAGTTCAAAGGGATCTTTGCTGCCTGCTGTTCTACATGATGAATCCAGCTGTGGAAGGGAGTGAACAACTCAAATGGTTTCACATCCTTTGGTTGGGGAGGGGTGAAAGGAGGAACACAGTTTGCATATGTAGAACTTCTGAAATCATAAACTTCCCAGGCTGATTAAATATTTCCCAGCAAGTCTAAATTTTATGTCTCTTCCTTAACCACCCCGTACATTCTTCCCCTTCAAGATTAGTACGCGCTTACTCAGGGTTCTTCTTCTCAGTCCACCCTACCCCTGAGTTCCTTCAAACTTTTGTTTCCACTGTGTGTGTTGGTTTGGGGCAGCTTGGAATAATGGCTGTTGGTTTTTCTCCACAATGCCGGTGCCATTGAGGATTCCGCACCAGGCTGAGGAGGACCAAGGGCTGAGATTTTGCAGCTGGTTTTGTGAGTCACTGTGCACTCTGAGCACCCACCCACTGGAGGCAGCCTAGCTTGTGGGAACCCAAGTGGAGGGACTGAGGCTTTCTCAGTGGCCTTGTCAGTGCACAGCAGAAGTGAACAGCCTTGAGTTGAGGAAATTGTGGCTGGACAGGCAGGGAGGCAGTTGTGCTGTGTCCTGCTGACTGTTAGCTGCAAAACCTATTGACATCCTAGCACCCAGAGAAGAGAGGGACTCCTTAGCCTGCTCTGTCCTGCGGGGATGTTGGGGCAAGCTGTCCTGTTCACATTCTTTCTGCTCCTCAGGGCTCATCAGAGCCAAGGTAAGGATTCTTGTGTTGGTGTGGGATGGGGCCTGGCATGGACCCATGGGTGCCTGAGTGTGTTAGGGAGATCAGAACTCAGAGCTCTGATTATGCCATCTCCATAGTCACCTAGAACACAGGGAGCAAGAGGAGAGATTAGAGAGTTGAGTTCAGGTCCCTCAGGCCATTGTAAAGTGTGTGGAATTTAGTCTGTGTGAAAAGTGTGGAAAACTGGAGTATGTGTGCTAGGCTTCCCTGGAGTATGTGTGCTAGGCTTCCCTGGAGCTGTGTGTGCATTAGCCTTCCCTTTTCTCACTCTGGGAGTGGCTTCATCACCAGCCATGGGCTTTTTCCTTCATCCCATCACAATTTTGCCCAAACACCATCTTGTCATTGTCACCTTCCCCACTGAATTCAAGTTTTTGGTTGTCTATTCTGAAGAAAAGGCTAGGCTGGGAGTTGTGAGGAGTCTCTGGATGCTTTGGGTCTGGGTGAGGTAAGGTAGAGAAAAGAAGGAAGGACAGACGGTATCTCAGGAGTCAGCTGTACTTTGGGTTGAGCCTTGCATCTCTCAGGGACCGGTTTTTAGTTGTCACTGTGCTGGTGGGGACCCAGGGAGGGGACCCAGGGAGGGGACCCAGGGAGGGGACCCAGGGAGGCCCCTAGCAGGCCAGACTCATTTCCATCCAGCTTCTGGTTACCTTACCTCCTCTCAAACAAGGTGTGAGTGGAGAAGCAACTTCCTGAGGCTCAGGAAGTTTGGCTCAGGACTCAAAGGGACTCTAGTCCAGTAGAAGTCACCCCTGGGGCAGCCAAATGATGTGTTGACAAACCTTTCTTACTAAAGTGTGGTATCCACACATAAATGTGCGTGTCCACGAGTTGCTTTTTGGATGACTTTGGAACAATCATGTGTTCACGTCCAGTCATTATCCACTGTCACTTCTATAAACATAACAACATTCTCACTTCAAATCTCACAGATTGCCGGGCGGTGGTGGCACACGCCTTTAATCCCAGCACTTGGGAGGCAGAGGCAGGCGGATTTCTGAGTTCGAGGCCAGCCTGGTCTACAGAGTGAGTTCCAGGACAGCCAGGGATACACAGAGAAAGCCAGTCTCGAAAAAGAAACAAAACAAAACAAAACAAAAACAACAACAACAAAAAACAAACAAACAAACAAAAAAGAATCTTACAGATTAGTTTTGCATGGATGTAAGTGGCATCCCATGGTATGGGCTTCTTTGACTTGACATTTTCATGAGGTTTGTCTGTGTTGCTACCTGTAGCTTGCCTCTTTAATGGGAGCTGTGAGTCCCTGGATGCCGTGAGTCTGGGTGAGATTAGTATTTCATGCCAGCCTTATCCCATTCTTGGCTCATTCTGTTACGGATGCACATGTGGATCTTTAGCGTGGTTTTACAACAATGCTAAGACCTTTTCCTAACACGCAACAGTCCACTTTCAAGGTCAAATCATGGGGGTTAAGTGTAGATATTCTTAGCATATGTTGTTGAGTTGTTTTGAGGAGTGTTTGAGCCGTCTAGTACTTGGGATTTCTTTTTTTTAAATTTTTTAAATTTTTTTTTATTTTAAAGGTTTATTGTCATGGCGGATGGTGGATGGATCTAGGCGTACCCCCTAGTACTTGGGATTTCAAGTTGTCTCAAGGCAACTGGCTTTCTGTTCTGAGGGCCTGTGAACAGGAAATGAAATTGTAATGATGTAGAGCCCACAACGCAAAAGGCCAAGGGGCCTCGGCCTTATGACTTCTGTGATATTTTGTATGAAGTCCCTATAGCAGAGCCAGTCTTGAATTAATTCACAGATTCACGACAACCTTACTATGTTATGAGAACTAGGCAAAACTTAGCAAGGAAACAGTTGAAACTGAGGTTGATTTTTTTTTTATTTATTTTCTTTTAAAGATAGAATCTCACATATTTCAGTCTGGCCTGAAAGACAGAGCTTTGGTCATGGGAGGCAGGGGCCCCACTAACTACATCCCCATGCCCAGATTTTACCCATGAAAATCTTCCAGTCAGGAAAATAGATGTGTACAATACCAACTCCGAGGGAAGGCAGAAGAGGCCCTGACACTGACAGTCAGGGTACATTGAAAGGAATATGAGAGGATGCTGGATTCTTCTAGGTGGGGAGACAGGGGGACTGGCTTGGAGTGGTAAAAGTTCAGAAAAACCCAATAAAGTGAACCAATCCTGGCACAGAATAGCCTAAATAAAAGCAAGAAAACCAGGAGTTTAAGTGAGAAGCATAGTAGAAAGCAAATTAGAGAAAGCAAATACTTCAGTGAGACACAGCTGTAAGAGACACAGCTGGGACAGTTTTGACAGACAGGGACAATCAGCTTGCCCGCAGACAGGAGAGGCGGTGGTCAGTCAGGATAGAGCCTAGGAGGAAGTGGGCTGTGGCCTCTGCAAGATCCTCATTACTTTGTGAGTTTGCCTTGGCTGGTCCTGCAAGAGCTCAGCCTGCTCTGTTCCTTTCTCAGCATTGACCTAATCTGTTGTCCCTCACCTAAACCTCACACAACCCCAACTGAGAAAAAAAAAAAAAAA